TATAATCATCAAATAGAGAACACACCCACAATCGTGAACTTTCTGGCTTGCCCTCTTGGCACGTACTGAATTTAAGTTAAGCTACCCTTTTCAAGGTAAGCTATAAAATAGCAGGTTTCAAAGGCAGTGCCGCTAATTTTTCTCGCATTTTTGAAATACTTGTAGTTATAGATTACATCGTATTTCTGGAAGGTATAAGTATTATTTAAGTATCTTTGAAGTCTAGAATTATTGATTTGATGTATTTTAGTAAGTTTAGTTGGGATTGGACGCCTTTAGGTTTTATTACTAGAGGTATAACCAATAAAGTTACGACATTAGGCTTAATACTAGATCGTTAGGTTTTTTGTTTTATGTAGATTTTACTTGGATTTCTCCTAGTAGTAGCACTAGCAGTAGGATAATAAAAGTGTAACATAGTGTTAAGTCTGTGTTCGTTTGCCAATTGTCCGTAGAAATTCTTTCCGAATAACTTCAGTGATACAAGTCCTTTCTTAAATAAAACTAGTTAATTTTTTCTCAATACAACTTTGCAATGCACTTAATTTCCAGTCACTTTAACTTATAACACGCTATAATTCACAACGATTCACGCACTTTACTTACGGTCACTACCGCGCTTGACTCAATTGTCCGTCTCTATCTCTACCTGTCTGCAATTCAAGTTCCGATTAACTTGTCTCGCTTTATCTGGTGCACTTATATACAGGAATAGAGAGCGTCTAGCAAATACTGGATTATTCGTGATGTTCCCCGAATTTTCTAGATACTCATTACGTGTTACCAACGTCACGTGAATTCCGCTATCGTAACAATAGTTTCCTCTTTTATTAGCTAATTAAGACGCAGAACGTATTCAACTTAAACGTTTAAATGGCTGTTTCCATACTTATTTAAAGGGTGCTGATAATTTAATATATTAGTAAATTGTTTAAATTAGCATTTGATTGCGTACAACTAGAATTAGGATCACTGTATACCTTTTAGCTGCAGTACTGACGTTGGTAATGAATCACTGGTATAAATACAGGTATTGGTTATGGTTAATGCTACTAAAACTAATAGAAATTTTGGTGTTACATTTACCTACAGTTTAATACTATGTAATATACAGTTTCACTTGCCGAGTGACTATAGTTATAATTTAACTAATATTAAATTTATTCAAATTATTAGTAAGTTCTAAAACAAGCTAAATATTGTATTGTTACATAAGCATAATATAAAGGCTAGTTATTTGTCACTTCATATTTAAGAATAAACCTAATTACTTTAGTGAGAAGATAAAGTAGCGATAAAATAGTGTAGTGTGTTTAAATTTAATATTAAGCTATAAAGTGTTGTCAATAGGTTACTTCAAATACTTGTAACTGTACTTCGTGCTAAGCGCTCACAAGTTGTAAGGTGCAATTAGTGCAAAGAGTGAATTTTATTTGGTAACTCGGGACTAGCATGCACTATTAAGAAAACTTGTATTGAAACTGTGGAGTTTGTAGGTTGGAGAAAAATTGGGGCTATCCCACATTGGGTTGAATAAAAGGATAAAGAGAAGAGTAAACTGGGAAATGGCAGCAAGATTTGAAGAACTTAAGCTTTTGCATGCAAGGGATACAGTGGTTAATGTTATTAATGAGTTTCATGTAATTATAAACAGTACTAAAAAGGCTAGTAATACTAATAGTGGATTTAATTTTAATGAGCAGGTTCTACTAAGTAACAGACTTCAGGAACAGATAAAGATGGGAATGAAAAACACATCTATTGTTATAGATGGTTCTTTAGTACAACACATGAATGGGATAGTTATGGGGCTAGAAGGGAGAAAAGAATGAGATTATGCTATCCAGGCACAGGGGTGAAGCATATAACTGATATAGTAAAGGGCACTAGTAATGATGCAATCTTTGTAGTGTACACCCAGGCAAATGATGTAGGGAAGGGTGGATCAGAGGACCTAATTGTTACATACAAGGTATTAACAAAGGCATTCAGAGAAAAGGGCCTAAACTTAATTGTGGGGATTAAATTATAAGTAAATCACTAGGACTGAATACTAGGCTTAGGTTAATATGCAAGGATGAGCAGATTGCCTGGTTGGATAAGTTCAGTGGGAAAAGGGAGCTTTTTGAAATGGATGGTTTATATTTAAATAGGGGTAAAGGGTAGTTTGTTTGCAATGGTTTTTAATTGAACTGTAACAGCAACTTTAGACTAGGACTAGACAGTGGTGAGGTCTAAAATAATGAAGAAAATGTAGAAAAAAGTATAGTGTAGGAAGAAAGTAAAAAGTAGTTTTAATTGTAAGATAAAATGTTATTCATTGTAATGCTAGGAATATAACAAATGAAATAGATGACTTTAGAGCATTGGTTGGAACAGGTGAATATGATGTACTGCAAATAACTGAAACCTCGTTAAATGTTGATAGATTTGATGACAGGAATTTAATAAGGGGGTTATATGTTGTTTAATATGAATTTAGTACTAGATAGAAGGAAAGGAATGGTTTTATATATAAAATGTGTTGTATCCTGTTCAATTTGAAGATATCAAAGCTAATAGCAATGAGATTGCATCTGTTTGGGTTTCTATTCATGGTTGTAAGGTTATGAAGGCTTTTAGTTGGAATGTTACAGACCACCAGATGAGGTTGTTTCAATTAATGAAAAACTCAACAATGAGATAAACTGTTAATGGGGTTATAAATTACGTGAAATTTCAATTTCAGGTATATAGGTGTTGGGTAAATTATAAGGGAGAGAAGTTTATAGAAACTGCTCAGGATGGTTTTCTTTACCAACTGGTTAGGGAGCCTACTGTAATCGGTGCTATTTTAGATTTATTGTTAACTTCTATTACAGAAATGATTGATAGGTTGGAGATTGGGGAATATATCGAAGGAATTGATAATTATTTGATTAGGTTTGATGTTTTTCTGCATATGGAGATAAGAAATAATGAGATTTTGGTTCCAAATTCCAAAAAAGCAAATTGTGAATAGATAAGACAAGAATTATCTACTGTAAATTGTGTTACTAAATAAACTTGAGATACTGTTCAAATGTGGAAAATTTCTAAAAACAGATTCTTAAATATTCAAGTTAAGCATGTTCCTTATAGAAAAAAGGGTAGCTGCAAGTAAAACAAAAAACGAGTTGGTTCACAGAAGGTATAAAAGATAAGATTAAATAGAGGCAATATAAATTTAAGAAGTTTAAGTTGACTAAAATGATTGGAGATTTGAAATATTACATAAGATTAAAAGAGTGTTGCTAAATTTGAAATTAAAAACTATGAAAAAAAGTATTAACTGAAAATGTAAAAATTAATAGTAAGGGTTTCTTTAAATACATTAAGGGCAAGGAAAATTTTAGGATGAAGATAAGGACTTTACGGGATGATAAATGAATGCTAATAGCTGATGATTATGAGATAATTTTGTTTAGTTCTTACTAATGAAAATGTAATCAATATTCCTGATTCTGAGCTATGTGCAAACAAGATTGTCATGCTAATTTGGAGCTTGTTGAGAAAAACTAGGAAGTTTAAAGACTACTAAAGCTCCTGGGACAAATATTTGCCAAAGTTTTGAAGGAGGTTAAGGATTGGATATGCGAGCTACTTGTTACTATATTATGTAAGTCTTCAAATAGTTTGTAGGTGCCAGAAGGTTGAAAGTTGGCTAATTTTACTTCATTTTTTAAGGGGGGTGATAAATTTTATCCCAGTTATTATAGACATATTAGTCTTGCATCACTGGTAAAAAAACTTTTGAAAGTCTGATAAAAAATATGTTTTGCAAAATCAATTAACAAAACTTAAAAGTTTATTGGATAGCCAATCTGGTTTCACAAGGGAAAAAATCTTCCCTTACTAATCTTTTGACATTCTTTGAAGAGATTACTGCTTACTTGGATAAGGGTATGGGCATGGATTTGATGTATCTGGATTTTTGGAAATCATTTGACAAGGTGCCACATGAAAGGCTTCTTAAAAAGTTGTTTTTGTAGGTGTGGAGAATAGGTTGACAAATTGGACAGAAAACTAGATGAATGGCAGGAAGCAGAGGGTTGTTATAAATGGAATGTGGTTAAGCTAGATCCATGTCACAAGTGGAGTACCTCAGGACTCAGTATTAAGACCTTTGCTTGTTTTGATTTATATCAATGAAATAGATCAAGAAATGATGCTAAACTTTTGGGTGTTGCTGACTGTAAATAGGATGATGCTGCTTTACAAAAAAATTTGGATTATTTGGTGAGTTGGGCAAATAAATGGCAGATGACTTTTAACTATGATAAAGACAAGAATATCACAACGTGAATTATGAGTATAATTTTGATGGGAATGATGTTAACAGGGCTATGGAAAAAACGATCTCTGTGTTCTCATTGATCGTTCTTTTAAGCCATTAAAGCAAACAGTATTTTAGGCTGTACCTATAGAAATATTGAATACAAGAGGTTGTATTGTCATTGGTTAGGCCACGTTCTGTGTTTGGTCTTGGGTTTCTTACCTTAGAAAAAGATACTGAATTGTTGGAAAGGATTCAGTGGACGGTTACTAGGATGATACTTGTGGTAGGAAGGTTGTCATATGAGGATAGATTAAAAATCTCCTGAAGTTGTTTCCTCTTGAAAAAAATAAGAATTAGAAGGGATTTGATTAAGGTGTTTTAAGAGTATTATGGGAATGGATAGTATTGATGTATCATCATTTGTTTTTCCTTTTTTTTGTTGCTGTGAGAATTGTAAGACTATGGAACACAAATATAAATTTTGGCAAGGTGAGAGTCATCTTCAACCAAGACATCTTTATTTTTCTAACAAGTGGCAGATGCAGTTAATCTAAGGGAAGGCTTGGTAAAAACTTTAATGATAAGAGCTGGCTCTAAGTGATATATTTTGGATATTAGTATGGCAGATGGGATGGTGTAGATGTACCAATAGATCCCTTGTTCTTCTTAAATTGTATGTATATAAGTAAAATTAAATACTATTCTACCAAAACAACCTGTATACTAGTTTTTGTATAGTTAATAATTTTATGATTTTCAACACCCTACTTGATTTATATGAATCCTTGTGTTCCATAAATTCTCTTTTTAAAACAGCAAAGTATTTATCCACGGTTTTCTTAATTTTCCATTCTTTATGGATGGTAAAAATCCTCAGGAATGGAATGAGATCCCCTGGAATACCGCTACTGAACTCTGATAAGAATAATTCACTTGGTTCTTTCAAGTTTAGAAATTCCTGGTCAGTTTCTTCATATCTACAACAATTGCAAGAAAAGATTGTTTCATTGAAAATGTTACACAAAGCTACTTACTGTTTCTATTTTTAAACTGATAGAATAGATGAAAAATCATTATTCAACAATGTCTGCTGCCAATTTTTATACTGTTTTTGCCTCACCGAATTGTGTAATTCGACCATCACTCGTATAGTGTGCCCACAGCTACAAAATAAGAAGCATGTTTTTCAACACTGGCTTGCGATCCTTGGATATGGGCTTGTAAACCACTAATCTGCACCCAACTTTCAAATGAAAAAGAATCGATGCTGCAGCTTTATAAAATAAATAGTTAGGGTCTGGGTGCAATTTGTTAATTTTCAAGTGGCATGGAGTGAAAAAGATGGAATGGGATGGCAGGCTTTGACACTTCACATGAGAACCCTTTATAAGTGACTTAAAGTGTGCAGATTTCAGTACACTGAAGCTTCAGTTCTAGGATAAAACAGCGGAGCTAAGGAAAGCTTCCTTCGGCCACAATCATATCGCACCCTGATTATAATTAATGCAAATATATAGCACTGAATATTTATCATTGTGAAACTTTTCTTAAAAGTTTTATGTACTAGAAAATATTCAATCCATGTTTGAGCCTTGTAAATTAAGATTGAACTAATGTTTATTTTAATGGGACGACTTGGTAACATAGCACAGTGGCTTAGCAAATGTATAAAATTAATAAATTTAAAAATCACTTTAGTAATGTTGTTTGTTTGTTGTTAAGCACAAAGCTACACAATGGACTATCTTTGCTATGCTAATCATGGGTATCGAAACCCGGTTTTGAGCGTTATAAGCTTTCAGACCTACCGCTGAACCGTTGCAGGTTTTACGAATATTATTTTCCTTTAAAAAGTATTGCAAAGTACATTGAAGACTTGCCAATTTCCATTACAAAACCTCATAACGTTGTTTTTACTAATAAATATGGCTAAATTTCTTAACGTATATAAACTACTTTTACCATCCTCATCCCAAAATCTTGTTTAGATAATCGCGGTGGACAGTGTTCTGTGTAGTTTTGTGCTTAACAACAAACAAAATATGAATTACTCCTGATCACTATGTTTGGGAGATCTATACTTTAGTTCGGGGTTCGGCAACCCGTGGCTCGCAAGCCGCATGTGGCTCGTTATATTCCCCCCCCCCCCCAACCAAAAACACACTTAAATTCTCGTTTGTCACGACAAAAAGAAAAAATAATTCTGTCATACAGATGGAATGATATCATGTTTGCTTTATTTCTTTGAACTTTTTTGTTAATAAAAGAAGCAGGATACAGTTGCACTTCACACCCGCATCCATGTTACATTCAAATTCTAAAGCCTTTATTGCCAACACAATAATTTCAACCAATTACAATTTTAAAATGTGAAATGTAAGCGGGTGTGTTGAGATCTCGTTAGGAAGTTGAAAGTTAAATGTAATGTTAGGCCTAAGACATGTTGCGCCTCTCGAAATGTTTTGTTCTTGGACAAAACAACAAAAAGCTATTATTCTTTCAAGGGTTGTCGACCCCCTGACTAAGCTATAAAGATTTGGGGCTCTTAATTTCTTACCTTTTCCCAAACGCTGAGGAAGCTACGATGTTATAGATCAACAAGTAGATGTAAAGGGTAGGGTCAAAAGGCTCTTTTTCCTTAAGCATCTTACGAACGCTAGCGTCTACAACATCTTGTACAAGCTCAGCAAGTTCTTCACTTACAGCATATTTCCTAGTGAAAGAGTATTCAAACAATAAACAGGTGACATCCATATTGATATTAAAATAAAGAATAAAATGACAGGTTGTATGGATTCGTGTTAACAACCAGTTGTTCGTGACTGCTGTCGTTGCTGGATCAGAAGCTACAGGTAATTACTGTAAAACAATATCGATCCGGTAAAAAGTGGACCGTAGAAAGAAACTTGTATGTAGATATATTCTTTAAAGGAACTTTTTGTGGAATTAGATTACTTAGAAGACTGATTCCGAAGTCGTGTAAACATGACCTACGTATAAAAAGATTCTATCATTCCTGATCACAAGATCTGTAGGCAGTGAGGTTGCGCGGTCATATTGTACATGAATGACTTATGTCACTCGTCACACATTAGCGTACAATTTTCTCTAAAAAATTCCAATTCTTACGTCATAGTTAAATCTTCCTTTGTAATATTTCGATTAAGGTAACGTCATTGTTAAGGTAAACTTTTCAACAAATATAATAATTTCGTCAACATTTCACATGACTATATAAAATAAATAATTCGATTTTACTGTGTCAGAATACATATGGTTGTCACATTAACACTAAAGTGGTGGGTTCTATTTCTATAATAAAGTAATTACTAAACTACAATGCCCATTTTTAAAATAAATTACTACTTTTAATGTCAAACCAAATAAAGAAAATAATAGGCATTATTATTTGATTGATTGTAATGGTGTTCTTAAACTCGCATGGAAGCGATAATTTCGATCATATTTTTAGGTTGGCGTCTTTTTTTTTTGAATTGCTGTACAATTGCTATTAACTCTATCAGTCAGCACCCAACCTAAAATGCCTTTTGTATTAATTTACTTTGTATCGGGCGGAATCGGAGTAGTACGTCGTAGCCCCTATCGAGGGACTAATACGTGCCCGTAGGGGGCACCAGGCATGGTGAGGTATAGAAAGGAGGTTTTAAGTGTCGCTACATTCAAATTTCACATCGAACTTTGTGTTCCTGACCTCCTCTTCAGGATCCCGGAGGTGCCATGCTGGAATATATTACGGGCGCGTGTTTTATTGGGGTTTCTTTTTTAGTAAAGACCTTCCCTTGAGGTAGCTAAACATACTGGAGAAGTTTGATTTGTACCATTGGAGCCTTCGAACCTCGCAATGGAATGTTGATATTTTATGCAACTTGCAATTAATTACTGCTGAGCCTCCTTGAAATCGTTTTGAAATAGTGGTGTAGCAAATTCACGAACCTTTGTTTTAGGAGGATGAGAAGACCTTTTTTTCCTAAATCGGAATTTTTTTTTGTGGGTTTCGTTTAAAATATATGTTCAGGATTTACCTTTTACTTGAAATAATATGATGAATAAAAACACACATGAGTGTCTCACTGGACCATTCAACCAAGCATTGTTTACGTTTTTTATATCGAATAACTAATTTTTAAAACTTTGTTTTACACGAAAAAAAACTAATGTTTTAAATTCGTTAACAGGTTTATTTCCTATTATAATTAATATTAACTAACCTGACAGCAGAGTGCGCGATCTTTCGCAAAACTTCCCATTCTGGAGAATAATCAGCAAATATGATGTCTTCATATTCCTGCCTGAAAATATTACCTATCCAACAAAAAACTCATGAAATAAACTATACGGGTTCTTAACAAAACTAAACATTTCATTTAATAATGAAACAAAACCCAACCATAAACAGCTCCAGTTTTATAGTTCACAACTTAATGTTATCAAAAAAACTCATGAAATAAACTATACGGGTTCTTAACAAAACTAAACATTTAATTATGAAACAAAACCCAACCATAAACAGCTCCAGTTTTATAGTTCACAACTTAATGTTATCAAAAAAACTCATGAAATAAACTATACAGGTTCTTAACAAAACTAAACATTTCATTTAATTATGAAACAAAACCCAACCATAAACAGCTAAGGGTAATGTTCGCAGCTGTACCAACTTTCATCATCTCGGCAAGTAGATGGGACAAAAGACCTCCCGATTGAAGGTTATGTGTATGGGAGATTATTTTGTGTGGTTTTAATTATGTTGATTACTCAAGCTGTTAACTTCAGAAAGATGTAACTATTAGTAAATAGAAACTGACCGACCGAAACTTTTTCAGTTTACACATCATTATTATCACTATGTGTATGATGCTCTAGTTTGAACATTTCATTTTATTATTTGTCAGACATTGATGATATAAAAGGAATATATAATTTGTTCTCTTTCATAAGTCATAATTTATTAATAAGTCCATTTTCTACACACTTTTAATACTAAGGAGTAGAACTACGAAAATTAATTTGCATTTTCTTGGAAATGGTTATCAGATCTGACAGACTACTACTGAAGACCCAATTATCCCTGGAGATGGAAATCGTGCTCTATTTACTTCTTAATAATGGTCTGTAGAGATCCTTCCCTGAGATTAAGTTTATTCCGAAAAAACCTATGTCAGTGTGTTCCAGTTTTGTGCAACTTCTCTAAAACCGACTAATGTCTTACACAAGCTACTTCGAAGCGCATGCTTAATAATGCGCTTAATAAGATCGAGGGCAAGAAAGTCCAATGGAATTACATCGGTTGTGAGAGCTAGAGAGATGTGTGGACATTATAGAAGCTTGTTTATCGCGACTGGTAATTCGAATACGTTTCCATAATCTGTAAATGATATCTGAATATTCATTGTTTTTATAGACTCTTGATACTAAGCTAGAGATACGTGCAGTGTTTTTCACACTTTAATATTAAATTGTAGAGTTAAGTGCAGATATTTTTTATCCAGCATTAAAGCTACGTGCAGAGTTTTTATAAATCTTATTTCTAATTAAAATGTAGAGTTAAGTTTTCACATCACGAGATAGAACTACTTGCAGACTTTTTACATAGTTATCAATCAGTAGAACTATTTCCAGAGTTTTTTAACACTTGATTTCAACCATCTTCAAACTTACCAAGTATAGATATATTTCTCCCGATTACTTCGTTCCTCCTTACAATGAGAGCTTCACGTGTGGCGTCCCAGTTGTTAACAACGACAATAGGACGACCACCCATCCACATCGTGAACACAGGACCATACTTCTTCTGCCACTCAGCAGTTTTGATAAATTGTGGGGTATTATCCCTGAATGCTGTGAATTAAACAGTAACAATATTTAAGTGAGTACGAGGACAACAGTCTAAGTATTTGTTTATTATTAATATTGTATAGTGTTTTAAGTAACTATTAGGCATTATATTTTTGACCACAACAATAAGGCATTATGTTCCTTTATAACAAATGCTCAGTTTTAATTGGTGTAATCAAACAATGTTTAGATAATTGTGAATGAATACGACATACAACTTTCGTGTAACAATAAAACTGCATTTAGTTCTTTATACATACATAATTATGTAATTGATTAAGGTAATGTTTGTAAGAATCTCTGCCAGAACAATGATACGATTATTATATCCCTGTTCCACTTATATGTAAGAGGTTACATTGCATTATAAGTATTTTGTTCTAATCCACTATTTTACATGGTGCTCAAATTAATATAGTAGGGTTCTTTATACGACCGCTGTGTTAACCTTTCATTCCCAAAATAACAAAATCCATAAAAAAAAACTTTCTAAAAGAGTTTTCCCCTTTCCTGGATTGGTCTTTATCATCTGATGTACAACATTTGGAGATTATGGTGTGTTCTAAACACAAGGAAAGGATTGTTAACTCGTGTATATATGTAATCTAATTCAAATATGCGGGGTAAAAAGATAAAAAAAATAACTTTTATAAGACACATAGTCAAAATGGCGTATACCTGCGTCCTAGCATTTAAATACCGTTTAACGGTGAGAACCTGCTTAGAAAACTAATCTGTAGTTTGATATCCTCAATTTGGATTTGTTCTCTGAGACAAATTTTATGTCGTTTTGACAAACGTTATATTTTAAGATACTTTAATATTTATTTTTTGTTTAATATTTAACTATCACTAGGGATAAGCGCATGCTTCGTGTACGATGTATGTATCAGGTCGTCAAGAAATTAATGTCGCGTTTTGGAACACTTTCATTACCCCCCCCCCCAAAAAAACGTACATCAGGTATAACAGTTA